ACAACCCACCGCCCTTCCAAGTAGGGTTTTAGAGTTGAGAGTTTAGGGCATTTAGGACGTTTAGGGTTTGTAGGGCTTCTAGTGTTTATAGGGTTTAGGGTTAAAGGGGCTTTAGGTGTTTAGGGTTTCAGGTTTTATAGGGCTATAGGGCTTTAGGGTTTTACGGCTTATAGGGTTTTAGGGTTTATGGTTTTAGGCCAAAACCCTAAACCCTAAACCCCAAACCGTCATTGCAAACCTTAGCGTTTAGGACTATTTGAGGGGTTGGTGTTCAGGGCATCGGGACGGTGCAAGGTTTCAACTTTCAACATTTATTTCATAGAGCGATCCACCAGCATCTTGTAAAAGTGCGTAGCCCAGCGTCCTTCTTGATGTCCTTCAGCAACAGCTTGGCCTTCACGGGTTTCATGATCCCAAACCCCTGAACCCTAAATCCCTAAACCCCTAAGACCTAGAAAACCCTCAGGGGTCCAGCGCAGCTTGGGGCCTAGGGCTTTCGGGTTTAGGGCTCAGGGCCTCAGGGTTTACTTTCTTGTGCTATTTGGGGTGGAGGTGGGTTTTATTCAGATCTTGGTATGTTGTTATTGGAAGAACTTTTTAGTTTTGTCCCCCCAAACCCTAAACCTTAAACCCCTAAACCCTAAACCCTATTACTCTGGTTTGAGGCCTGATTGGGTTGAGGGTTTAGATAGAACTTGCTGTTTCTTCGGGCGAGGGCCTGGGGTTTAGCAGCTTAGCTACTCCAACTCCTATAGGGGCCATAATAAGTAGAATAGGGTTTTGGGGCCCAGTATACTATAATTATAATAAGGAGCTCCCACAATAGTATTGGTATTTATTGAAACCCTTATGTTATCCAGGCGCCGGATTGTCCCGCGGCTGCATGCTCACACCCCGAACTTTCACTTCCCCAGTTCCAATACCCCAAACTTGAAACTCCCGTAGTTAGCACCCGAAAAAACGAAAACAGACGCCAAGACCCGAAACCCGAAACCCAAAACCCTAAAGCCTCAACCCTAGCTAAACCCCGATGCCCGAAACCCCGAAAAGGGATTCTAAACTCAACTCACTCTCTCCCGATCCTCTGGTAGACACCCCAAACCTCTGCGTCTTGTGAAACCATCATATAGGGGCGTCCATAACTTAATAGCGTATTCGGGTATAATATACCATAATTCCTACCTGGACCCTGAAGAACCTACCTTTTTAGGGTTCCTTCTTATGAGTTCTTGATATAAGTCCTTAAAACGATAGGCTATTTGGGGTTAAGGTAAACACTAAGACTAAACCCTAAACCGCCATAGATATGGTGAGGAACTCCGAGGATGGTCTGTCGAGTTCACTATTAAGGGGGCCCTACATAAAACTTAGGGTTTAGGGCTTTTACGGTTTAGGGTTTATGGGTGTGGGGTTTAGGGTTTAGGGTGTAGGGGGCTGAAACCTTAGGTGTAAAATCCTTCTGTTTTACATAGTCTGTTCGGAACCCAGAAAGCCCCAGCAACTTGGACCTGGCAGCCGTGAGCGCCCCTGACGACTTCAGAGCAAAACTCTGCCTGAGACACAAAGAGGTCTCGGAATGGTGAGGCTTATTGGGCTCTGCCTAAGGGTCCAAAGGACCCAATAATAAGGTACTTTGCCTGCGGATAGTAGTTATCTAGGTTAATATGCGGGAGAGTATATGATTATTAGGTACTTGGACCCTTAGGGTCTTGTTTGGTAAATTCCAGAAATTGGGGCATGGATTTTGGATGATTAATGCTGGGATTCCTGAATTTTTAAGGTAAGGGCATGAGGAGAATGATGTTCCAACTGTCTGGCTTCTACTACTCTAAAGGTTCTATAGCGGACTATAGCATCTTGGGTTTCTTAAGCGCTTCTTGAAACTTAAACCATAAACCCTAAACCCTGCCAGGGATGCCTCATTCAGGGATCCTGCTACTCAGGATGATACCGAGGGTGTGCATTGTGGTCCCTTGTTTTGAGAAAGGCTCGCCGAAGCACGTGCAGAGTTCAGGTATTCGGGCCTTTCGCTTTGACTTTGGGTCCGTACAAATAAAGGTTTCGCCGCCCTAACCCTACGCCCTGTTCACTGAAACCGAAACTTAAACCCTAAATCCTGAATTCTACATCCGATCCCATGAACACTACGTAACCTTGAACTCCAAATCCTAAACCATCATCCCGAAATCCTACCTACGACAGCCCTAAACCTCAAACCCAGAACACCTTCGAATCCTAAAGCGTGAGCCGTTAAAGGAACCATTGAAAGAACCCGTAATGGAAAACTTTTGTAAGATTCCTTAAAGGGAACCTCCCTTGAAGGGAACCCTGAACGAACTCTACAGTTGATATGTTGAGCTTCAGGGCATTTGTGGTTTGGGATCTGGACGGGGGGATGTGTATGGTTTTAACGTTTTGGAAGTTCTTGAACTTTTCGTTCTAGGTTTTAGGGATTGGGGTTCTAGGGCGTAGGGTTTGTAGGGTTTTGCGTAGAGCTTCAAGGTTCAGGATTTATGGTTTCAGGGTTGAAGGCTTGCGATCTATGGTGTGGACAATAGAAGTTGGGCAGGTGTTCGGGACTTGCTGGCTTACCCTAAACCCTAAACCCTAAACCCTAAGCCCTAATGTGCTTTTAGGGTCCCAGGTGCGGGAAGCCCAGGAAATCCAGAAACCCGTTTAAGTTGAAGAATCTGCTCGACCCACATAACCCAAAACCCAAAACCCACATAAGGCTTAAGGCACCCACTATCTCGGACATTTTCAGGTGGGTAGTTACCGTTATAGGAGCCTTATAGAAGGTCTATACCTTATGGAAGCCTTATAGATGCCCTATATACCCTAAACTCCCCCTAGACCCTAAACCCTAAACTCTAAAACCCTGAACCCTAAACCCTATAAACCCTAAACTCCTTTGACTCTATAATAACACTAGAACGCAGGGTTTTATGGTTTTGTTCAGGATTCTGGGGCTTCGGAGTCTCCGGGGTTTAGGGTTTAGGGTTTAGGGTTTAAGGGTTTAGGGTTAGTTGAGGGCGTGAGCACCCGAAACCCTAAACCTCCAAACGATTAGGGCTATAGGGTTCAGGGTTTAGGGTTGTTTTTAGGGTTTAGGGTTATAGGGTTATAGGGTTATAGGGTTCAGGGTTTAGGGTTGTTTTTAGGGTTTAGGGTTATAGGGTGATAGGGTTATAGGGTTTAGGGTGCAGGGTTTAGGGTTCCCAAGCTCCAAACCTTAAACCCGGAAGCTCTAAGCTCCAAACCCTAAGCCCTAAACTCCCAATCCCAGACCCCAGACCCCAAACCCTAAGCTCCAAACCCTAAACCCTAAACTCTAAAGGCTCAACCCTGAGTTTGGGTTGGAAAAGGCACAACCCTATGGGTCCATGTACCCACATAGTAGATACTCTGGCCCCAAAGTACCCAAGTAGGGAATATTTAAGGCCAAAGTATCTACTGTTTGCGTACCCTAAACCCTAAACCCTAAACCCTAAACTCTACATCGCCGCCTGGCTGAAATCCATGATGGTCAGCTGCATGGAGTTCGGATCCCTCATGATGTTGGCCTCGGAAACTCGTCTGGGCTTCGAAGGAGTTCGAGTAGCATTTCAGGGTTTTGTTTTTAGGGTTTAGGGTTTAGGGTTTTGTTTTTAGGGTTTAGGGTTTAGGGGGTTTAGGGTTTAGGGTTTAGGGTTTTCGGGTTTTAGGGTTTTTTAGCTTAGGGTTTTCGGGTTTTGGGGGTGGAGGCTTCGGATTTAGGATGTAATGTAGCATAATACCATTCTCTACGGTTCGCCACTGTACTTATAACTATGCTATACCTAGAAGCCTGCGGCCTCTACGGCAAGTTAGGGGCCTTAATGATAAAAATAGGATTCTGGGGTATATTGTACTGGAAATATCATAAAGACCCCTCAAAATTAGTCTAGGTCGATAGTTTTTGAGGCCCCTATAGTAGGGCTTAGGCTTCAGGGTTGGGGTTTCGGGTCCAGCGTTGGGGTCCAGGGTTCAGGGCGTAGGGTCAGAGGTTAGGGTTTAGGGAGCCCTTGGCCTGACGATTAGACTCGGTTTAGGGTTTAGGGTT